AGCAAAGGAAGAGACCGACAAGCGTGGAGAGAGCCGGCACACCTTAGCACCAATAGCCTGTGCTTCATTCCCCTGACTTATGAGTTCGAGACCAGTATCAGGTAAAAAGAAGAGAGTGGGGTGAAGCACTGAGCTCAGAACGACAAAGCCTGCTAGGGATGATAAGATGCTACGGCCTGGCTGGTATCCTCTGAAGCCTGTGTGCTAAGGTTTGGTCCCCACCATGGTACAGTTGGTGGGGCCTGTAGGGAGTGGGGTCTAGCAAGAGGCCTTAGGTCACCGAGGCGTGCCTTTGAGGCAAAGTGTGGGACCCTGGATCTCCCTCTTTTTCTTCTTCCCAACCACGAGGTGAGCATTGTGCGCTGCAATATGCTTTCCGCCATTGCCAACCCTCAGGGACCCAAAGCAATGTAACCGCTCAGTATTGGATGGGCCCTCCCAAAAGGTAAACCAAGGGGAAACCTTTTTCTCTGCATAAGTTAAGCGTGTCGGGTCTTTTGTGATAGTGACAGGGCACCTGAAGGAGAAGGCAGAAGCTGGGGAAGAGTGGATGAGACGGGGAGAGTCAGGGCAGAGGCTCAGAAAAGGTAACAACTGGATCCTAATTTAACCTCTAAAGGAAACCGACTAGAAGGTAGCCAGGAATCTTGGAGAGTAACAGCGATGGGACCACCACTGGCTGGCCCTGGTGTCCCCCAACCCCACCCCGCACAGGTAAAAAAAAATTAAGGGCTTCCAAAACCTCTAACAAGTTGGACAGTTTACAAATCCGTGTGGTTAAATGGAGAATAATAAAAGCCACTTAAATCCAGTGACAACTTTCAAACAAATACAAATGCTTGTTTTTCTGAAGTGAAATGTACTCTTACCACCACGGCAGGGCTAGTTTAATATCTTTAAAAGTGTAACTGTTAACTAATGTTATCCAGAGAGTGATGCTATTCGCCGATTCTGGAAGACCCAGAAACGCACAGACGTCAAGAGCTCCAAGTGGTTCTTTGTTCGAGTCACAGTTTTGAAGACAGCTCCAGATAAACCCAACAATTGAGCTGCTGTAAATAGCCTTCCTCTTTCATAAATTTCTCCCTATATTTAGAAGTACAGTTCCTTTGTTCACAAACTACTCCCAACTGTTCCATATTTAGATTCCCAAAGGCGTACCTTGGACTCATTGGATAAATGAATGAATAGCTGCATGGATGGATGAACAGGAGAGCTATCAGATGGCTTTGTTGAGATCCTGGAGATGAGATGTACAGAATGCTTCGTGTATGTGGATCCCTGACTGGCCAGCAGTAATGTTTCCCATGACTTTCGTATTTAACACAGTGAGACTGGATGAAAATGTATCAGAGGGAGCAAGATCGTTTGGTATATAACAGTTGTTCTCTCCCTCCAGCCCCTGGACCCCGAGACAAGGTTTCTCTAAGTACCCCGGCTGTCTGTCCAGGACTGGCTGAGTAGCCCTGGAATTCACTCTGTAGACCAGGCTGGCTCAAACTCAGAGATCTGCCTGCCTCTGACTCCTAAGTGCTGGGATTAAAGGTGTGTGCCACCACCGCCCGGCTACATTACAATTCATAACGGTAACAAGATAGCAGTTATGAAGCCGCAAGGAAAATAAATTCTATGGTTGGGGGTCACCACAACACGAGGAACTGTATGAAAGGCTGAGAACCACTGCTCTAAAGTAAGGTATACTAATTCACACTCCTAAAGAGGGGCTTCAGAGTCCAGGGAGCCCTGGTCTGCCCCTGTGTCAGAGGCAGAGGTGACAGTTGAATGCTGTCAGCTCTCTGATACAGTGACAGCAAACCTGAGACTATCAGAAAGAGGAAGGACTTTGGTTCATTGCTTTGTCTGTCCATGGTCAGTTGGCCACTGCTTTTGGAAGAGTGTGCCGTAGAGGAAGCAATTCATCAGGAAGCGGGGGTGGGGGTGGATGTGCGGTGGATCTGAATCCTACCTAATAAATACCTCCTCGAAGGGCACACCTCCAAAGACTGCATTTCTTGGCCACACCTCTTAAAGGTTCTGACAGCCCTCCAACAGTACCACAGACCGGGCCCAAGCCTTTGTCAGACAGGCCGCTGAAGGACACGCATTCAAACCACGGTGTTTACTAAGGACACTGAGTGGGGCACTCAAAGCAGGGGATGCCAGTCAAATTTCTGGGCAGCTTCTCGCTCCTTTCGAAGAGCCCTGTTTCGTAGGCTCACGGTTCTCATATCACGACTCCCCTTTCAGCTTTTACATCTCCTGTGCAAATGAAGTCACAAGAGACATTCAGCTGTTACAAACTTCATGTCAAGCTTTGAAGTGCTTTTTAATAGCAGAAATATTTGGCTCACGTGTGGGCTTTGTAGCTATGGTAAATACCTCTTAGTTATCTGTCGCTACTGTTATTCCACACCTCCAATTTGGAGGAGAAATTCTGCATATGCATTGAGGCACTAGAAAAGAATATTGAACTATATCTGAGCTCTTTTGTGAATGGTTTCCTTTTATTTCTTCTCTCACGGAACTAATACTTTCACCCGCATTGTGCTGGTTATGGGTGGGAAAGCAGTGGGCAGAAAAAAGAAGGCTGATACTGTGGCTTCACATCCTTAGCTGCTGGAAGTTAAGTGGTCAAGAAGCTCCCTACTGTAAGATTATATTTATTGAGTCATTCACCTGCCCTCCTCCACCCCACCCCTCTGTGTGCGTGCGTGCGTGCGCGTGCGTGTGCATGTACGTGTGTGTGTGTGTGTGTGTGTGTGTGTGTGTGTGTGTTGGGTGTGTGTATGAGTGTATACATGTAGAAAACTACAAGTCAATGTTGAGTGTCTTCCTCAATCCCTTATCTGCCTTATTTTATGAGACAGAATCTCTTACTGAGCCTGAGGCTCACCTGATTGGCTAGACTGGCTAGCCATCCAGAACCAAGGACATTCCTGTCTCCACCTCCCCAGTGCTAGGGTGACAGGCACATACCATGGAGCCATCTTCGTTTGTTTCTTTTAACATGGGTGCTAGGGATTTGAACTCAGGTCCTAAAGCTTGCACGACAAGCCCTTTACCAACTGAGCCATCTCTCAGCCCCTCCCTGAGTCCTGCGATGCTTTGGAAGACTTTGGATAAAATGCTCTTAGTTTTTACAAAAGAGGAAACTGACTCCAATTAGTCTGTGATAAAGGCAGAAAAGGAAAAACAACAACAACAAAAACAAACTTTTCATTAGGGAATTCCGTATGATTATTGAAACAAAGTCTGCATGTCTTAATGTTCCGCCATGTATCAGAAGAATACATTTAGAAATAGTATTTTTGAGAGCAAACACATTTGAACAAAGGCCAGGCACTGAGCATTTGAGATCTGCCCTGTGCTGAACAGCAACATCTTACTTCTTTATGTCACTTAATTATTTTATGAAGAGATAACAGAAAATTCTATTGCATGTCCCAAGTTAAACACTTGACGTTTTTATTCCTTAAAACGAAACATTTGAGAAGTCTAGATATGTTTATTAATTAGTGATTATTAACACTCAGTAAACAACATTATGTCTTGTAAAAACACAATCTCACTGCACAGCGTGAAGCTGAAGTCTATTATTCCCTGATTCCATATGCTGAAATACACTCAAATGGTCCCAAATGACCTTAAGCATTAAATAAATGTAAATGAGAACAACATAGAAAATGCACTTTTGATTGATAACTAAAAGACCAGGTTGAAAAGCATGTCCCCAGATGAAGTCCTTCCCAGAAGGAGATGGCTGTGTGAGCCATGGAGGAAGGGCTCTGCTAAGTCTCCCTCCCGAGCGTTGAGATTACAGATACATGCCACCGCGCTCAGCATCACTTTGGTTTTTATCCATTGTGTCTGTTCATCCAACTGTTTTTCTCAAACTACACAGTCAGGGTAGGCAAGCGTCCTCTATAGAGAGAAAACTTAAAACACCCAAGGATGCCAGAGTAATAGTGAAAGATAAAATAATTCCAAATAGAACTGCTACTGTAACAAAATCTGTAGCAAGATGTACAAAGGGAAAATGCACAGATACAGCCATTTCATGTGTACCCAACGGGTGATATTCTCCTTCTAGGTCAACTGGCCACAGGGCGGGGCATCACACAACACACACTGGTTCTGCTAGGGGAAAGCAGTTCTCCTAGCCTGGAAAAGGAGGAATAAAACCGAAAGGGACTGGACTCCTGGACTGATAAAATCATCAATAGATCAAGATGTCTTAGCACTACTGATGCCCTGGGCCAGATGCTTCTTATTGCTGTTTTGAAAGCTCACTCTGAATGATCTCCACCATTAGGCATCAGGACCAGTAGAAACCAGTAGCAACATTGTCTGCTCTGACCCCAAGTCATGACAAAAATAATAATTAAAAAAAAAATGTTCCCAGGGACTGCCAGAATCTCCTAGGGGTGCAAGACTGTCCCGGCTGGGGGCCACTGGAATAAAGCCATTTAAGAAGGCCCCAAGCTGGGCTTTTCTCAACCTCACACTGCATAATTTTGGGCACCAACTGAGCTGGAAAGATGGCTCAGTGGTTAAGAGCATTGGCTGGTCCCTAAAGGACTGGGGTTCTATCCCAGCACCCACATGGCAGCTCACAACTGTCTCAAACTCCAGTGGAGGATCCTACACCCTCACACAGACATGCATACAGGCAAAATATCCATGTACATAAAAAATACATTGAAAACAAAACTCTCCTGAGCTACCAAATGAGCCTAACTCAGTGGGTAACACATCATTTGAGTGTTCTATAACGTATGCAGTTTTAGTGTTCTCATCTATTGAACGGAGTGTCTGCCTGACTCATGGGAGGCTCACACAATTCAATGAGGATGATAGATATGACATGTTTAGAGCAGGGCCAGGCACACAGCAAGTGCTCAGTTAACACTATCTATTATTATTGTATTCATGCACAGCATCAAGAAAGCAGTTTCCACTGAGATGTTTTAATTCAGACAGGATGCAGAAAGGTATCTTACCAGCTTGATATTTTCTGAGCCTTAAACACGCCCGTCTTCTGATTGCTTGCGATGATGCTGTCCACATCTACAGGGCACAGTTAAGAAAACTTCTGCAGTGACTATCAACTGACTGAGAAAGAACTTATAAACACGCTGGCTTCTTATCACAATGGGATCCACACAAGAAAAAGAAAGGAGCGGTCAGTGCTGTGCCATGAAATGCTGACTCACCACTGGCAAGATCTTTTCCTTCCCCAGCTTGCAATTTTACCACCCATCTAGTTAGCATCATGGCAGGGCCCAGAGGAGAGGTACCGGAGGCCACTGCTGGAGAACATGAGCTGCTACGTCACTTCCTCAGGTCAGCCAGGCATCCAAAGACAGACGTCCATCCATCAGTAAGGAGGGCGATGGCTGCCTCTGTTGACTTTCCAAATTGAAGTGGTTCCAATCTCCCAACCACTTGTAGGGGGAGAGGGGGGGGGGAGCAGTAGGGACAGGGTTGGGAGGAGGCAAAGAGAGAGGTGGAGAAGAACTTGGAGCCTCTTTGGGAGAAAATGCAACATTTAAGAAGAAAGTCATTCTGGTGAAGGGTCCCTGGAGGAAGTTCTGCTTGGCCTCTGGCCTTGAGCAGGCACAGAAGGACCCATGCAGAAGAGCCATGTTTGAATTAGAGAAACTTTGCATGATATTCAGTGACCCTTGGGAAAATCACATCTAGTCCATCATCAGGAAAAGCTGGAGTTAGATCCACAATGGCAGCCTAGGTGTTTGTGAGTTGCTGCTATTTCTCTCTTTGCTCCGGCCCCAGGACTGACAGAGACCAATGAATATACTAATTCCTACACCCAGACACTCCCGAGGTCTTCTTCTCTGTACTGACCTCTGTCCCTGGCTTCCCCACAGTCCTCTGGCTTCCTAATTTCTGAATGCCCCCACCTTCTCATTTATTTGACTTGGACACATTTCCTGTAAGACGTCTCCCAACCCCTCTTCTGAAGCGAGGCAAGTTTAAAAATAAGCAAGGACTCAAATAATTCTAGTAAAGGCGGCAAGCTGCACAAAATTGGGCCCATGGGGAGGACACCAGGCTGACAGCGATGTTCCCCTATTGCTTGGAAAAAACAGATTTCCTGCATGTTCAAAGCGAACACTGGCCAAGATCTCCCTGCCAGAACAGAACCACAGGATTCTGAAACCCAAGTCTCAGCTTGAACCACCAGGCACACCCATTCTTCTCTGAGTGAATAAGCAGGTACTGTGTGATAGCTTTCCTCCCTCAGGAGTAGGGAGGAAAAATCAATTAGCTCTCCTAATGATGGGCTTTGTAGAGGTTTACAAAAGTGCCATAATGCAGACTTCTTTCTTTTTTTTTTTTTTCTGGGTGAACTTTCCTGTATGCAAATTAAATACCGTTAAATTACATTCATTAAAAAAATAAAGGAGACTAATTTGCCTACTTGTTTTGATTAACTAAAATGACACATCGGCCTACGGTTTCTGTCTATTTCAGGAGCGTTCTAGATGAAATATCTTGCAGGAAAGGACGGCTGACATCTTCATTCTGAGAAGCCCAAAATTAGTAGAGTCAACTGACAACTGTTTTTTATTAAGTCCCTCCCCTAGCCACGCCCTACTCTGCGTTTCCATGGTATCCAACTGCCTGCCATAACGTGCCCGGCACACCTGTAGCGTCCTATGAGTACATGGCTAATCTATCAAGCAAAACATATTATTTTGTTAGTGGAGGTAATACTTTTTTATAAAATAGTCACAGTGAAGTTAAATTATAGAACTCAGAAAACCTATTAATAATTTTTAGTAAACATCTTAACACTATATACTTTATACAATTTATAAACCTGTGACTCTGGGTGGTGAGGCTGGAGCAAGCATGGATATTTATATTCTAGAGGTTATTTTTTTTTAATGAAAAATTCACAGCGGTATTTAGGCTGCTTTATTTTTAGAACTGGGCGGGAAATATATTTTGTGGTTTAGAAGGGCTTTTAAAAAATATATTAAAAGAGTCACAGAGAAAAGATGGCAGTGTTAATGTTAAGACATTACCTTAAGAGACAGACTCTGCTATTCTGTCCCCCCACCCTATAGGTCAGATTTTGATGGTCTTTCTGCATGGCACTGTGTCCAATAATAGATTTTATCATCTCCCTGTGTCACCTCAGGGTAATAAAGGAAATCCAATCAAATTGAGTCAATATGACCAGGATAATGTTCAACACAACAGACCCAATCATGCTCTGTGAGCTGCATCCACCTTCCAGAAGATCTCAGTGGGAGGGGCTGGGTGCCAGAAAAGCCTTCCTGTGGTTTCCCGGAGGAGATGGAGCAGTCCCCTTGTTAAAACAACTGCTTGTGGTTCAAATGGAGCCAGGTTTCTGCCTCTAGCTTCCTTCTTGAGTAAAGCACATGTCAGGAGTGACGCTCCATTTTAGTTATCAGTTTATATTCATTCTTAAAATGTATACTCACATACAATAGCAACAAAAGTCTTCTAGGTCAATTGCATATATTTATTATAGGTAGGTAAAAAACTGTTGAAAATATTAGTCTCGCTGTGTCATCAGTAATTGTATTTATCAGTTGTATATATATTTTGAATCAGGTTGTTATTTTTTAAATTATTTATTTATTTTATGGGTGTGGGTGTTTTGCCTAAATATATGTGTATGTACCATGTGTGTGCCTAATGTATTTAGAGACCAAAAGAGGGCATCAGGTCTCCTGAGACTGGAGTTACAGACAGCTGTGAACCATTGTGTGAGTGCTGGGAATTGAATCTGGGTCCTAGTACTGTTCTTTACAAAAAGATTTCTTTTTAAATTATGTATGCATATATGTCTGTATGTGGGTATGTGGATGCATGTGTGTATATGACAGAGACCAGAGGTGCTGGGTCACCCCTGGAGCTAAGAACCAAAATGGACCCTCTGGAAAAGCAGTACACACTCCTAACTGCTGAGACATCTCTGCAACCTGGTGTTCTTCTTTGAACCAAAAATATTTAAAAAATAATAACACTGTAATTCATGATGTATTTTGTCTTTTGGTTTATATTACCTTTGATTTCACTGGGGGTTTAAAAGGGAGGGAAGAACACTGTTTTTTTTTTAACTTTCTTTTCTATTTTTTAACTTTCTTTTCTTTAAGATTTTATTTATTTTTATGTGCATTGGTATTTTGTCAGCATGCATGACTGTGTAAGGGTGCTAGATTCACTGGAACTGGAGTTACAGACAGTTGTGAGCTGTCACGTGAGTGCTGGGAATTAAACCTAGGTCCTCAGGAAGACCAGCCAGTGCTCTTAACCTCTGAGCCATCTCTCCAGCCCAATATAAATCCTATTAATTTTGATCTAAATGGCTTTTTAAATGTTCAAAAGTGGCATTTTCCCCTGATTTAAGGCTACATACTACTCTTTTTTGTTTTGTTTTGTTTTTGAGACAGGGTTTTTCTGTGTAGCTCCCTCTGGCTGTTCTAGAACTCACTCTGTAGCCCAGGCTGGCCTCAAACTCACAGACATCCGCCTGCCTCTGCCTCCCAAGTGCTGGGATTAAAGGCATGCATCACCACTGCCCAATTTTACACTACTCTTAAATCCATTTCTTACTTCCAACAAATTGAGAGATGACACCCAGGAGCCACCAAAGCTGTTAGCAATGCCACATGTTACCTTTATGCATGACAGGCCTTTTTTTTTTTCTTTTTTCTTTTTATTTAATCATCTGGTGCTGAGGAAATACAAGACAACCCTCACTCAAGTGTTCTCACCTGTGGTGAAACAGAGTAGCTTATCAGGCTGGCAACAGATCTGTAATAAGGAGGGAGCCGGCTTCTTATGCTGGTTTGGAAACTTACTGCTGTGTGACCATGGGTAGATTAATGTCCCCGAGCTCCCAAAACTAAGTAGAAACAACGACATCTATTTTATAGGCTTCCTGGTGTCACATGGGAGAGGTCCAAGACATGGTGGGTGCATAACTCAGGCCAACTTGATCATTTTGGAATAATCCAACACAAAACTTGGGTGGAATGAAAAGACCAGTGATTGAACCTAAAATGATTCACATTTCAGTCTCTCCTCTGGATGCTCAGAATGAATTCTGTGGCTATTTACCTTAGATTGGAAAGAAGTGGAGGAATCAACCAACTTTTGCCCAGCAAGCTTCGATTGCCCTTTATATATGGAAATGCATTCTCAATGCGGCAAAAGCTGTGTCCCCACAGAGTGGGGACCGGGACTGTCTTTACCATTTGAAGCTGAAGGGTGGAGTGCTGGCCTCCTGTGCTGGTGGCCCCTAAGTTCAGCCTCAGCCTGGGGGAGGGGAAGGGAGATACCATCTGAAATGATGAGCAGTAAATACTGACTGAACACATTTCAGTGGGATTTCCAAAAACACGCGTTGAGGCACAGTGAGGCACACAGGGCTCACGTGTGACTCACGGAAGATGGAAGGCTGGCATCACTACTGAAGAAAGGGTCTGGGCACAGGACGATGGCCTGGGATTCTCAAGTCCTCAGCCATCCACAGCACAGGCTGCATCGTACCTATGGTGCTTTATTTATTTATTTATTTATTTATTTATTTATTTATTTATTTATTTATTTATTTATTTATTTATTTATTTATTGGTTTTTTGAGACAGGGTTTCTCTGCATAGCTTTGCGCCTTTCCTGGAGCTCACTTGGTAGCCCAGGCTGGCCTCGAACTCACAGAGATCCGCCTGGCTCTGCCTCCCGAGTGCTGGGATTAAAGGCGTGCGCCACCACCGCCCGGCAATGCTTTATTTATTAGTTATACAAGTCAGGGATTCTGTTTAAGAAATGTTAAACCTGGGTACCTCCTGTGAAGAGCCATGGGATTTACCTGGCTTTGGAGACTCCTAAACACAACGTTGAGACTATGCACACAAGCCACTGGGATAAGAACACAGAAGAGCATTGTTCCAAGTACTGGAATACTCTGCAGAAAACACTGTGGACTTTTACAGGAGACGGGCCCAGGCTGTGTGTTTGAATCGGATCAATCAGTGACCTTCACCAACCAGGTCGTTCACCTGCACATGTTTTACTTTTCTTTCTCTCCTATCCTCTTTCCTTTTTGCTTTGAGACATGGTTGCGCATAACACAGGCTGGCCTTGAACTCCTAATCCTCTTGCCTCCACCGCCCAAGTGGAGACTATAGGTGAGTCCCCACACCCCAGTTCTACTTCTGCTGACTCGGCTTTGCAGGGGGCTTTGCAGCAACCAGAATTTATTCCGCCATTCCCCTCCCATTTTCTCTTCTCACAGTTCTTACCAGCTACACACCTACTGAGTAGTTATTATACGTGAATATTTGGGGATTGCTTTCTACACTGAACTAAAAGAGAAATATCAAAGGGCATTTTTTTTTTTACATTATTTTAAAATAAATTGGAGGGGCTGGAGAGATGGCGCAGTGGTTAAGCACTGGCTACTAACTTTGATTGCCAGCACCCTCACAGTGGCTTATAACCATCTGTCACTCTAGTTCCAGGGGATCTGATGCCCTCTTCTGGCCTCTGTGGGCACCAAATATTCACAAAAGGCACCCACATGCATGTAGGCCAAACACCTATACTTACAAAATAAAAAATAATAATTAAAACAAAATTGAGAACTGCATAAACCAGATGATCCCATTTCCTACTCATCCTTTGTACTCTTGGGGGTATAGATGAAACGGTATCTTTAGGAAAGGTGGGTTTCAGGATGGGGACCCCTGGATTAAAGCCAGCGAGGCACCTTAGGGACTAAGGAAAATTATTCATGAGTCTGAGAAAACACTCAAGATATAAAGTTCATTTTTCAAGTTCAATTTTCCTCAAGTCTTGTTTTCTTTTTAGATAGATCTCTTTGCAGTAAATCTCAGACCCACAGCTCTCCAGGGCGAAGATACAGAGGCTAGAGACACAGCTGACCCATGGCACGTTGACTGACCCATGGCACGTTGACCCAGGGTACACTGTAGAAAGATAAGCGAACACAATTGGCTAACATGCTTTTGTGATAGAGAAGTCCAGAACTAATCTCCCTAGTGCCTCGTATATTAAAAATAAAACAAGCTGAAATGAAATAACAAAACATGCTATTTTTCCTACAAAAATAAAAATAAAAATCAGAATGATAGAAGCTTCAAAAGACCAGTAAATAAAACTAGTTGGATTCATTCCATTCAGAAGCTAAAAACAACAAAACAATTTTAAAATGATGAGACTAATACCCAGGCCCTGAGTGACTGCCAGGTTGATTTTTATCATTTCTCTTGTGTGTTCATTTGTTTCTTAATGTGCTCATCTTGCCCATTAAGAATAATTAGCAGCTCTGCTTAGAAATTTGCTGGCTTCTGGCAATGTCCCCCCCCCTTTTTTTGGTTTTGTTTTGTTGTGGTGGTTACTGACATCCACCTTTAACTTTTTAGAAAGTAATTTTTGGATAATATTCCACAACTGCGGTATAATTCGGGCTTCCTCAAATTTTAAAGGGAAGACATAAACAGTGATTTCTAAATGAGTTGTTTGATCTCTACGCATCGACAGTGGGCGATCTGGCAAATGAGTTGTTCTTACAGAGAGGGGTACACAAATGGGGGGGGACTCACTCATATTAACCTCACTCAGCAAAACAGATTACAAGGCATGCCTATTGTAAGCTGTTTGCAAATCACGAACAACATTAGTATTAAAAGCAGGAAGCCACATTGCCAATTTTAAGGCTTTTCCATGCTTTTTTCTGTTAATTAAAATAAATTAGATCTACTTACAACAGAAAAAGGCACACACACACACACACACACACACACACACACACACACACACACGGAAGGAGCCCATCATAAAAACCGAACCCTAGCAGGAAGGTCCTGAGAGATGAAATAAAACACAGGGCCAGTTTGGGTCTGCATCCTGAAAGGACCTACTTCATCTACATTGTAAGGTTCTCCCTCCTGCCCTCTGGCACCCTGCTATATTAAACCCATTGTAAAACCCAGCACAATAAAGCACTCTCAGGGCTGAGCCTCTGAGGACCAAATGTTAAAAATCCATTTTCTTGGGAGGGGGCTGTACCAATCATTTCTTTGAAAGGCCGGCAGAGTGAATGGCAGAATCGGAGATTTCCTCTCCGATTTCAGGAGCTGGCATGGCATCTCCACTTAGAGCGAAGGTGTGATAATAATGAATGAATGACATTAGCCTCGCTTCCCTTCTTTGGACACTCTGTAGTTTAGTTCAATAATAATTTTAGTACAATTAAATTTACATACTGAATCTAGATGCTCCCCCACAGTTTGATGATAAAAAGTTCTAATTGATTTCTGGCCCTATTAAATAAAGTCAGTTGGTGACTTCAGGGGGGGAAAGAGCTCAGGGTACAGGGCCCAATCTGAAAGTTTCTGCAGCCAAAACATCTCTCTCTTGTTCAATATTCCTTCCTGTCTTTCTGGCCTCAGAAAGCACCCTGTGGGGCTGAGCTGGCGTACCTGAGAGCGCCATGGCTCTCTGTGCTCCCTGAGAGGAGGAGCCCCGTGAAATGATACCGGCACAGAAGAAACCAGAGAGAATGGAGCAGCTGCAGAGCTATCTTCTGCAGGAGTATTTAGAAAAACTTGCCACAGTCTCAAGATCATGATTAAAATCCCGTTTAAGAAAAGGAAGCACCTTTTGTGATCTCTTTCCCTGGTGTGAAAGGCGAAGATTGTGATTGGCTGTTTTTCCTTCCTGAATTTTTTTTTTTTTTTTTTAGGGCTGTCAGGCAATTAGCTGGGTGGGGCTCTGCAAAGCTGCTGAACAATATTAGCTACCAAGCTTCCCGTTCCTCCTTCCTCCTATGTGAGCAGCTGATGGAGCTGCTGGGAATTTTATTTTTGAAAAAAAAAATTTACAGAGTGGAGGAAGGAGGAAAGAAAATAAAAAAAATAGGCTTTATGTAAAAATGCCACAAAACGCAAAGCTGCTTCAAGCCTTTGAAGGGACTAAAAATTCAAATAAGGGTCCTGTCTTCCTCACCATGTAAAAAAAAAAAAAAAAAAAAAAACCCAAAGCAAACAGATCTTCCACCACTGTCCCCTCTCAATTTCTGACAGCTGTTACCTGCCCTGAGCACATCAGCCAGGCTGCTAAAGTCGCCGTAAATTATGCTTGCTTTCTTAGTTAAAGTACAGTTCAATTTTCTGAACTCTGTGTACATATTAGTAAAGCATAATCTAATATAATGAGGTTTGAACTGTAATAGCATAGCAGAAAAAAAAAAGAGATAGCTTTTTAATCCTAAATAAAAGGAGCTAATGAAGAAAAGATAGCTGCTTCCAGTGAGGGATACAAGCAACTCCTTAGCAATTAGCAGGTACCGTGTGACTGGCGTGTGTAATATCACATGCATTGAAGCTAGGCATTCATATTTACAGGCAACATCAAAAAAAGTAAATAATAATTTTAATCTGTTTTGTGATGGAAGATCTTAATGAAAATAAAAGAGTAAGAATGCTTCGAAATTATGAAATAAGGTTTTGAATTGCCTCGAGAGGAGCACAAAACATAGGCTTGCTCCTTCAGTGAGAAGTGTCTCTAAGCCCTATGAAAAGAAACATACGCAGTCGACCGCAGTGAATCCAGATATTTCTAGTTTTTCTTAATTACGGATCATGTGTACGGGGAGCTCTTTTTTAATACCTCGTGCTGTCTTTCTTTATATCAATTGTTACTCGGCCCGGGGTGGGGTGGGGGGAGTTGGGGGGGGGGGCGTTGGGAATGAGCACAACCAACCGGCTTTCTATCTGAATAAGGATACTTCTGATGGCCTTTTCATTCCCATCAGTTAACAGAACTTCTTTGACATCTGCAGAAATAGCAACCTGAAAAAAGAGAGAGAGAGAGAGAGAGAGAGAGAGAGAGAGAGACAGTACAGCAAACAATGAGCAAATATGCTTGTCTGTGTGGAAGGGAAGACAGAGTGACAAGCCCTCAGTATCATGCCTCCTCACCTAGTCCTCTGTAACAATCTTCAATCTTTTTTCATTTTATGTCTGCATTATTTTAATCATTCAATCAAATCAGTCAATACTTTTATCATTCCATTTGCGGGAGCCTCTATCTTGCTATCATTCTGTTCGGTAATTGCATTGTGACAGCGGATGATGGCATTCTGAGAGGCTTTCATTTGTGGGCTCCTGTTTATCTAGTGGAGCCATCATACAAGGCTGTCACTCTGCCTTTCAGCCTGCTTCTGTCTGGCTGCCTGATGCCCTTCATATAACTTTGCATTGCAGGCAGATGGCTTTGTGAGGGTAATTTTTTTGTGAGCTTTGACATGCTCGCACATTGGGCTGTAACCTCGACACATTGTATAAGAGCGACAGGTTTGTCAAATGCCAATCAGTGTAACAATATGCTTTTATTTGTAGAGACATAAAAACTTGTCTAATGCACTGTGCTGCTACATAATATCTCCCGAATACATGACTCAGAACCCAGAGAATGGGGGAACGACGTTCCTGAATGGCCAATCTAATTCAAAAGAATCTAATTACTGAGCGCTCTGGATCATGTTTGTTGGCGTAATAATGCAGGCAAAACATTAGCAGCTATCTCATGGTGCTCCAACTGTGATTCGCCGGGCTATTCCTGTATCTTAGCAAATGGGACTATAATCTGAAAAAAAAAAAATGCTTTCGCTATGGCAAAGAAAGACTGTGCGAGGCCTGGAATGTCACAACAAGCGATATTGACTACACTGAGGTAAAATGTTTCTGCTCATCGAGGCAACCATAAAATCAATATGATCCGAAAGTAAGTCAATCTAGAAGGTCTCTCAAGACCCTAGCAGCTTGATCGCGGCTGATGCTGTTGACGGTTCTCTGACCCAGCAGTTGGAGGCCCTGGAACATTTTTTCTTTTGTTCCTCCCTCTGAATGGGATTGGAATTGAGAAAAGACCTACCATGAGCCCAGCCAAGCATGTCATGCCACCCCCGAGCTCACACACAGCAAGGTCCCTGAAAGAGAGAAAGAAATGGTAGAACCCATACAAATTAGATGGAAATGGTCAGAGCCATATATATGTTACAAGAACAAATTGCCATCTGCAGTAAGAGCGACACTACCAGGGAGATGTGGAGACACGACTGGGCTACCTCATGTCGTTTTGCGTTTTAAAAATAATTATGAAATAGAAAAGTCACAAAGCAGGCAGCCAGTGGGGGGTTCCCTCATTAGTGTTCACTGCAACATTACCACCGCTGAGCTGAAAAATCTGAGAAGGTTCCCTTTCTTTCCCCTTGTCAATGGTGCTGTCTTTTAGAACTAAACTAGCTAGAGTAGCGAAAGAGAATTGTTAGGAAAGGATAACATTGTTAATCCACATTCATGCCTTCAAAACCAGTAGACAGTAAACGAAGAATAGATATGAGTGTGTGTGAACTTATGTTAGAGTCACATACAACATACAAATAAATGCAAGCCTGATTTTTTTTTTAATTCTTAAAAAAAAAAAAAGAAGAAGAAGAAGCTGAAACAGTTTGGAAAGCTGAACCACCCCCATAAAGCACAATTACACAAAGAGCATTTAGCAATTAACACTTAGATCACAACTGACCCCAGCACAACGCAGCAAATAAACAATGCAGGGGCGGAACAGGAGTAAGTAAGGCAGCAAACCCGGGCTGAAGTCACAGCTCAGAGTGGAGGCTGGCGGTGGGTGCCGTTCATTCCACACTTACCTTCCCCCTTTGTGCCTAAATATCAGCCCTCAATGTGTGACCTTCTCGCCCTGGCCCAGAGCTTGCTGACTGGCGGCTAAGCACAGCGAGCTTAGGAAATGCCAGCCTTCAGGGCAGTTTTGCAGCCCTGATTCAGAACTGCCCTCTTTAGATGTTATATGCCGAGAGTCTTAACATCGTTTCCTCCTCCCAGTTTGAAAAGTTGGTTATCCCAAGAGGAGAAGAAAAGCAAAATTAGAGTGAGGTGGAGGGGGCAAAAGAAGACATTTATGTTAAGAAATGTTTTCATGTGTATTTAGTTATTCAAAGCCATCACAGACTGCTTGGTAAGCATGGAGCCACAGAGCCTCAAAAATTACATGGTATCAACCCAGTCCTGTAAGAACATAGGGTTAAAACACATCATGACCACGAAAGGCTTGTTAGGAAATATAATGGACTCTTCAGGAAGTATATGTAACATGTTCATAAAGTGATAATTACAATGGGAAAAAAAAAACCCTCTGCTTTCTGGTTGTATCAAAGCTCTCCAGAATTTTTAAATAAAGGACCCCTTTTCCCCCTTTCCTAAGTCTCACCCATGGTTTGATACATAACACATATTAACAGCTAAGAGTGTTGATTTCCTTAGTACAGTAATTTATGTTATACGTATTGTCAAGGACACAAGAAATACCTTTAAAACTAGAACATCTTCAAGTAATAGCTGTGAGGAAGCATTTCTCAAATGTGCCAGTGACTTCCCTGGCAGAAGTTAAAGAATGTGTTTATTGTGGGGCCTTTTTTTTCTTTTTCTTTCTCTGACCTTCACAATCAGCAAGGATTGATTGCGCCCCCCTTTTGTTTCCCCCAAATCAAAGCGAAATAAAATGCCTTGAGTAAAAATCAAAAGCCTTTGACACACAGCAAGAAGCTTGCTGTGCCTGCTCGCTCGCTCGCACCCGAAGGCAGTGCAGATCCCTTTTCAGAAGCAACATGTGTTCATGGGGAACTTTTCCTTTTTCCTTTTTTTTTCTCTCTCTCTTTCGTCCTTTCGACAATTTACAGCTTGAAGGCTGTAGAGTGGGCCACTTTTTAATATGCAGATTCAATAACCATGATGGGCTAAACAAATATCTTTTAAGTGCGGCTCTTACCTGAATAGATTACTGTGCTTGAGGCAGTAGTATGCTAAAACCTCCTCAGATGGCCAGATGCCTGGAACACAGGAGGGGAGATGTTAGGACTGCAGAGTCTTTTTCTTCCAGACTAGCTTTTTAAAGGAAGGCTCAGCACAGGCCATCGCAGCTCACACCAAACTTAACATGGTGGCTCCTTGCCATGAGCCAGACCATGAGTTTCCTTGGCTGTTGTTTTTATGATGGCCTGTCCCCAGAGGACCTGTCCCCAGAGTGACAACAGAGCAGCCTCAATAAACTTTGCTAAACTTCAACCACAACAACCAACATTACAGATATCAAAATTAAATGTTGACCTGGTTCAAGCGGATCTTAATCTTATTTATACAAAATTAATACACATAAGTTGAAGACTTGCTATATATGTATTTCCTGTTGGGGAAAGGAAAAAGAATGGGGAAAAATTCACTTTAAGGGGCAAATAAAACTGCTGAGGCCATTCTGTCTTTTTTTGTGGGGGGCTGCGGGGCAGAGTTTGAGACAGGGTTTCTCTGTGTAGCCCTGGCTGTCCTGGAACTCATTCTGTAGACCAGGATGGCCTAAAACTCACAGATCCACCTGCCTCTGCCTCCCAAGTGCTGAGATTAAAGGCGTGCACCACCACCACCCGGCTTCATGCTATCTTTCTACACCTTTTCATAATAAGGTGTTAAAATATCCATAATTCTTCCATTTCTTTAATTAAAACATCAAACTGCAGTATAAGATTAAGAGACATTAATTTCACCAACTTTGGCATGCCTTTACATCAAACAGCAATTCTATACACTAAACTGCATGGACAGACATTTCCTAAAATCATCACTTATACATTTATTGAGAAGACCTAAAGTTCAAGAATGGATAAGAACTCCTTCCAGGTAAATATGTTGGAAGTCGTAGTTACCAGTGGTTGACACAGGATGGTCAGATTATGTGTGCTTTTAAATTTTTTCTCTATACTTTTTTATATTTTTCAAAATTTTTATAATGAGCCTACATCACCTTAGATATGATTAGAATAAATTATAACCTCATAAAAATTATGGTTTCCTCCAAAGAAATCAGCCTTAGCCATCAGTTGGGGACATCCCCCCCATCCCCTGTCCCCCAATCCCACCAGCCTTCCTGTGTGATGTTAAGGGTGCCCATGGCCCTGGGAAAGAGCAGCCATGTCTCAGCACTCAGCACAAAGTTAAAGACATTAAAAAGACTTGATTTTTCTCCCGAGAGAGACCTCCTACTTTAAGAGTTAAGAAATCTGAACATTTCAAAGAAGAATGTGTAAAAGAAGCGAAAGTTACCAAAAGGAGCAGGTGGTGGGTGAACGAAGATGAAGAGGTGGCTCCAGTGAGCACCTGCTACTCCAGCCTCCTGGCATTTCCAGTAGGAAGGACAACACGGGGTGTGTGTGGGGGAACAAGGAAAAGCAACAAGAAGTATTTGGAAACACATTTAGAGGGAAGGCACACAGGTACTTTGAAACCAGACTGAATGGGCTCTGGTCCCTGCTCTGCTGTTTGCCAGCTCGGAGACTTTGGATGGGTTACCTAATCTCTGTGCCTTGGGCTTTTCATCTGTAAAGCATAATCATTGCAACATCAACTTCATAGGATGCAGAACAGATGAGTCAAACAAACGCAATGTGCTTAGAACAGTTCCGAGCTCATAATAAGCACAAAGGAAAAACAGGTTGCCACTGTTGGCCTCTTGCAAAGGAGGGTAGAACAGTAGATAGAAGAGAGAATTTGTGCAGACCACAGCCATTATCCCCAGAGTCAGGACACACAGAGAACCATTTTTACCTTTGCTTTGTCAGGATCCCAAAGTCCAAAGACCTTGTACACCTTCACACAAAAAGAACTCCATAAAGACCAAAGTACATAATGAAATTCGCCGAAGGAAGAGCCAAGATAGTGTTCTCACTAAGTGGGTATAATCACCACAAGAATGAATTTCTTTATGCCCTGAGTACATGGCTGTGAGGGTTTTAAAAAAGTAATGATAGGGGAAAGGTATTTAACTAAAACTCAAGCCCCACTGAAGAAAGAATGTGACTTCTAAAACGCATAGTCTTTTCAACTCATTTTATATTTTTTTCAAGAAATTACAGAGTGGTTTTTTAAAAACTAAGTTAAATACAAAGATCAAAAGGCTAAATTTCTACCATTAGCAATATAATCACTGTTAATGTTTTAGACATCATTCCAAAGACCCTTTCTAGTCATAAAGGTATCTCACCCAGTTGGGATCTTCTCATGCAGGGATTCAGTAACTTGATTTTGCCCCCATTCAATAAGGTGTAGGAGGGATCCACAACACTGAGTTCACACTCTAGTACTGACTGCCTAGATATTCACATGTGCATCATCATTCAATTAACCCATGTCCTCTCACTAGACAGTTAAGCTGGGTTCAAAGTTTGTAATATTATAAGACTATAAGCAGCAGTAGAAGGGTATACCTTCTCCTAACATATTTCCCCCCATACTTAGAGATGGGATATCTGGTCAAAAGTCAAGTACAGGTTCTGGAGAGATGGCTCAATAGTAAAGAGCACTTGCTGCTCTTGCAGAGTACTGGGGTTCAACTCTTAGCACCCACATGATGGCTTACAACCATCTCTAACTCCAGTTCCAGTGTGTGTAACCTCTTCTGGCCTCCAAGGGCACCAGGCACGTATACTGCACATACATATACATTGATAAAATACTCATACATAGAAAATAAAAATAAAAAATCCTTCAAAACTTGAGTATAGTCCATAATCTGATAAACAAGTTGAGCATCCCTAACCTGAAATTCAAAATACTCCAAAATTTGAAACTTCCTGAGTGGTTACATGATGACAAATTCCACACACGCTCTTAGGTGACATCAGTCAAAACAAAGCTATATTAAAAGCATTATATAAAAACAACTTCAGGTGACTTGTATGAAATACATATGAAGCAGAGGAATTTCATGTTTACACTTGGACTCCATTCTTAAGGTGTTATGTACATGTTAATATCCCTCAGTTTAAAATGATCCCAAATCTATGCCTTTGGTCTCAGCTTTTAGGATAAGGGACATTGGATGTATATGTGACTGTCCCATGTGAAATTTGTACACTCCATACATCGCCAGGAAGAACGTTTGTTCTGGGCTGCCTTTCATGACCTAAGTCCTGGATCATATGTGAAAGTGGAAGGGGTTGGGAAATGACTCCACAGAACTGTCCTCTGACCTCCACACATGAACTCAGGTGTACCTGCTCTCCATCACATACACATACAGTAATAAACCATTTTTAAAGACTATTTGTTTCTTCAATGCCTCCCCAAGACAAGGCTTTATCGATCTATTTTAAATCACAAATTGTATTAGCATGCATTAACTATATACATAATGGGTTTCATTAGAGCATTTTCATACGTATATACAAGTTTGTTTGTTTTTTTTCATACCGACCCTCTATCCCTTTCTGCTGCTGCTGATGCTATTTCTTGTCCCTTACCTACTTTCATTTTATTTTAGCACTTGACGACTCGGCGAGTGTCATTAGGGTTACTTACAGGATCTTAGGCGAGGGATTATCCACCAGAACACGGATGGGCTCCCTACCAGTGGCTACACCGCTGAGGAAAATGTCCTCTCTCCCTCAGGATCATTAGGTCCCCATAGATACCCCTCCCCACTACTGCCATTACCTGCCTATAGGTTCCTGCAGGCCTCTTCGGTCCCTCCTCCCCATACGGCAGGATGCCCACAGGCCCAGTCTTGCGTGGGTGTCCTGCCACTAATCCCGCCTGCTGTGAGATCAAGGGTGCAATGTCAAGTTCTGAAGACAACATACCTCGCCACACACCTTCCTCCCTCCCTTACATCCTTCCTGCCCAGCTTCTACAGTGTTCTGCAGGGGTCCTTAGAGGCACACGGAGAAAAGTCCTACTCCTGGCTGAGCATCCCAAGTGCATCTAGCACTTTGGCTAGAAATGAGTCATGCAGTTGCCGCTGTCTACTGTAGAAAGGGGCTTTTCTGGCCAAAGGCAATGGCCCACTAATCCACCGTGTGAGCATATTTATTTAGAAGCTATTCTGATGGGCATATTGTGTTCTTTTAGCACAACGATAGCCATAGCTTCCCTAACTAGGACCTATGGCCTCCACAGCCATGAGCTTTTGACCAGGATGTAGTTCAGGATGTGGAGTCCCTCCTGAGGAGCAGGCTTCAGATCTCACCCTTGTCACCAATTGCTACTATTGCTCCAGTGGGCACTTCTTGCTCTGTTAGTCAGTAGTGGAGCCGCAGGATCCACACACAGATGAGGAAGCCTGGTGAAGACACCCTCCACCCGACCCCCACCCCAGCCTCTATAACATCCTCTGGCACTAGGGGAGCGAGTTAGCAGGGGCCAGGATTCCAGCCCGGTTCCGGCTGGATCTCTCTATAGCCTACAATCAAAGTGTGTGGACGGCGTGTTTAGCAATTAGGTCTTGTCTTGCCTATTTCTGGTGGGCAAGCAACAGCCAGGGCAAACACGCCTATTTTGTTTTAAATAATGTTAAAATTTTTAAAGTATTATTACGAATCAAGACTAAGACAAGAGACTTCAGTCCCACTAGGGTGGCCATCGTTCCTGTCAGGTAACAACAGTATGGGAGAGGTTACGGCAGGAACGCGAAGTGATGTGATTCTGCAAAACCGTCTTGCAGTCGCTGTTCAGAACGTTAGAGAGTTAAATTTAGGTGACTGTATGAGTTCAGAATTCCACTTCCAAAAACAGAAAAAAAAATATCCCTATACAAAAAAAGTGTGTGTAAAAATATTTCTAGTGGCGTGCCAACACACGCTGCAACATGGGATGAACTCAAAAGCACCCTATGTGAGGGAGGCCATTTACAAAGGACCGCGTGCTGTATGTTCGCATCCCTAACAAGGTATTTACCAAAAGTAGGATGGAGAGACAAGTAAATTTATATAGATCGAATGCTAAACCCTTCCCCCCATCAGCTCACCCCCACACTCAGCTCCCCCCACCTTCAATCAGCATTTTC